TTTATTTTTAGAGACGGAGAAGGGAGAGAAACATTGATTGGTTGCCTCTTGTACACCCCCAACTGGGGTCCTGGCCTGCAACCCAGGCATGTGCCCTGACTGGGAATGGAACCAGCAACCTCTCATCCTGCAGGCCAGTGCTCAAACCATTGAGCCATACCAGCCAGGGCATAACACTCAGATTTTGTGACAGGAAGATCTCGGACGAATTGGTGCCAGGGAATGGCAAGATGTGACTTTCTTTTTTTTTTTTTTGAGAGAAACATTGATTTGTTATTCCAGTATTTATACATTCATTGGTTGATTCTTGTGTGTGCCCTGACGGGATCAGACCCATCTTGGTGTATTGGGACGGTGCTCTAACTGAGCTACCTGGCCAGAGCTTTTTTTTTTTTAATAACTAGGAACTTCACTGTGTTCTTTTTTCCTTTTTCTTTTCTTTTCTTTCTTTTCTTTTTTTTTTTTTTTTTAGAGAGAGAAACATTGATGTGTTGTTCCATTTATTTATACATTTATTGCTTACTTCTTGTGTGTGCCTTGACTGGGGATTGAACCCGCAACTTTGACATATCAGACTTACTGAGCTGACCCAGCCAGGGCTGACCTGTGACTTTTGAAAGGTTTTTCTGAGCTAGGATGAGGCAGGCATGGGTGGAAGCAGGGAGGGCAGGCACCCATGTGGCCGCTGAGGGGGAAGCTGGCCCCAGGGTGGATGGGAGAGGATGCTGATGGATTCTTGAAGGTAACAGCCAAGAGAGAGAGCCAAAGGTGACTGCAGTTCTGTCCCAAGAAGCTGTAAGGATGGAGCTGTTGTGTGTATCAGTGAGCTGGAGATGGCTGTGAGTGGAGGAGGTTTGGAAGTGACCTGCACCCAGCTTTTAAGCCTTTCTGATCTGCTCAGCCACACCTGCTCCAAGGCATTGGCTCCCAGATGGAATGGCTCAGCAACAGTGTGTCCCACCTCTGTAGTCAAAGCTCCATCACCCCATCCCCACAGTGTTTCAGCCTCTCCCTAGGCAAAGGGCAGGCTTTTGCCACAGCATCCTCAGCACCTTCCTCTGTTCTCACGGTAGTGCTGGCTTCCACAAGGCAGTACTCGGAGGGGCCAGGTGACACAAAGAAATAGGCAGGGAACTTCCAAGTTCCCTGGCCACGATGGAGGCATAGGTAGACACACAGCCTCCTCACACAGCCACAAGAAGGACAACAGTTTAAAAACAAAAAAACAGAACTGACAAAATCAAACTGTATGAAGGTCCAACAACCAAGGAGTTGAAGAAGACACATTCATCCAGACTGGTAGGAGGGGCGGAGTCGGGCGGCTAGTCAGTACTCCTGGCAAGGCCACGGCTGGCAGAACGGGTGGTTCCACATTCCAGTGCAGGTAAACCCGGAGGAACAACTGGGGAGTGAGACAGACCGCATAACTCAAGGGTTCCAGCCTGGGGAAATGAAGCCTCAAAGCCTCTGACTGAAAACACCTGTGAGGGTTGAGGTGGCAGTGGGAGAAACTCCCAGCCTCACAGGAAAGTTCGTTGGAGAGACCCACACACTGGGACTCAGCACCAGAAGGGCCCAATTTGATTGTGGGTAGTGGGGGAAGTGACTGAAATCCAGCAGAGAGTGGAGCAAGCAGCACTGTTCCCTCTTGGACCCCTGCCCCACATACAGTGTCAGCGCAGCAACCTGGGTTGCACCGCCCCTCACTACGTAATAGGCGTGGAGACAAAAAAAAATTGCTCAAATGAAAGAACAGATCAGGCCCTGGCTGGTATAGCTCAGTGGATTGAGCATGGGCTGTGAACCAAAGTGTCGCAGGTTCGATTCCCAGTCAGGGTACATGCCTGGGTTGCAGGCCATGACCCCCAGCAACTGCACATTGATGTTTCTCTCTCTCTCTATCTCTCTCCCTTCCCTCTCTAAAAATAAATAAATAAAATCTTTAAAAAAAATGGTCAATCTCATGATGAATAATAAAATGCTAATGCATTTAAAAAAAAAAAAACAAAACAGATCAAAGCTCCAGCCAACCTATCAGATACACAGTTCAAAACACTGGTTATCAGGATGCTCACAGAACTGGTTGAATCTGCTTGCAAATTAGAGGGAAAAATGCAGGCTCTGCTAAGCGAAATAAAGTAAAATGTACAGGGAGCCAACAGTGATGGGAAGGAAACCTAGACTCAAATCAACAGTGTTGACCAGAAAGAAGAAACATTCAAACAGAACAGAATGAAGAAACAAGAATTCAAAAACATAAGGAGAGGCTTGGGAATCTCCAGGACATCTTTAAACATTCCAACATCCAAATCATAGGGGTGCCAGAAAAAGAGGAGGAGCAAGAAATTGAAAACTTAACAAATAATGAAGGAGAACGTCCTTAATCTGGCAAAGGAAATAGACTTCCAGGAAGTCCAGGAAGCTCACAGAGTCCCTAAGAAGTTGAACCCAAGGAGGAACACACCAAGGTACATCATAATTACTTTACCCAAGATTAAAGAGATGGAGAGAATCTTAAAAGCAGCAAGAGAAAAGGAGACAGTTATCTACAAAAGAGGTCCCATCAGACTGTCAGCTGATTTCTCAAAAGAGACCTTACAGGCAAGAAGGGGCTGGAAAGAAGTATTCCAAGTCATGAAAGGCAAGGACCTACATCCAAGATTGCTCTACCCAGCAAAGCTTTCATTGAGAATGGAAGGGCAGATAAAGTGCTTTCCAGATAAGGTCAAGTTACAGGAGTTCATTAGCACCAAGCTCTTATTATATGAAATGTTAAAGGAACTTATGGAAAGAAAAGAATATAAAAAATACGAACAATAAAATGACAACAAACACAGTTATTAACAACTGAACCTAAAACAAAAACAAACTAGGCAAACAACTAGAACAGGAACAGAGTCACAGAAATGCAGATCACATGGAGAGTTATCAGCGTGGAGAGTAGGATAGGGAGAGAGAGGGAAAAGGTACAGAGAATAAGTAGCATAGATGGTAGGTAGAAAATAGACAGGGGAGGTTAAGAATAGTATGGGAAATGTAGAAGCCAAAGAACTTATATGTATGACCCATGGACATGAACTAAAGGGGGGCGGGGAATGTGGGTGGGAGGGGGTGTGCAGGGAAGAGGGGAATGAAGGGGGGAAAATGGATCAACTGTAATAGCATAATCAGTAAAATATGTTTAATAAAAAAATAGGCAGGGGGTAGCCAGCAGGTAAGTTGCTTTTCCTTCCCCAGCACCATTCTCTCTGGCCTTTCCCGAGAGCCTGTGAGTCAGTGTGGTCAGGTCAGGAACAGACCACTTGTATTTCTCCTCTTCTCTGCTTCGCTTCCCTATTCCCTAACTCTAGCTTTCCCCAGTTTCCAGCCCCTGTCCCTGCTAATAAAACTCTTAAACTTTGCTGTAGGCAGTTTTTCAGGGCAACCAGACTAAGATAAGTGGGCCTCTAGTTTGAGAGAGGGTGTGGCTGGAGCTGTCGGCACTTAGTCCAATAGAGTGAGCATAGAAAGGGAAGAGCTATGATTGTGTCCTGGGGTCCCTAAAGCTTGATGGTCACAGGTGGGACAAGAGGAGGGAACCTGAAAGGGGTAACAAGAAAGGGCATATGAAGTAAGAGAAACGTGAGGAGAGGATGACATCTAAGAAGCCTTTCCAGGAGGGTGGGAAACCTCAGCATCTGAATTGGCCCTAGGACTAAAGGGAGCGGTGGCATGGGACAGCTGGGGGGGAACTGGAGTCAAGAGTGGATGTTCGTTAACATAGAAGTGCACCGTGTTTGGGTGCTGATGCAAATGACCTAGTAAAGGGGCAAGTGGTGGTGCCACAGATCAAGACACAACAGTTGCTGACAGGGAGATGTGATTGGACTGGATGCACAGTGTCAGGCATCGACTGGTGGGCAGTCCCTCTGGCCACACCTGCCCTGGGATGGGTTCCCCAGGGGGCTGCGCCAGGCACCACCCTCTGTTCACAGAGGCCATGACAGGAACCTGGACCTGAGTCCCAGCTCGTCAGTTTCTATGGTCCAGGAACTCAACCGGCCTATTTACCACCTGAGAAATGGGAGTGGTAATAGTTCCTACCCTCACAGGTAAATGTGAAGTACTTGGCACTGTAAATGCTCAACAAATGTGACTTGTCTTATCAATGACCTAGATAGAAACGTAAGAGTCATTCGGGCTCCTGTTAGGCTGGGCTGGAAGGACCCTGAAGAAAGGATTACTGTCTAACTGGGGGTCCAGGGATCTGTGGAAAAGACCCAGCAGTAGCACTGGGCTGGTAAGTCCCATATCAGCCGAACTATCTCTGTGCTTCTTTGCACTCCTTGGTCTCAAACTAACTACATCAGCCATAAAAGTCAGTCCAGGAAACCCAGAGGTGTTGAAGACTCAGAGCATCTTTGAAATGACATCTGGCCACAGATGGCCACAGGAGAGAAGCAGACACGCCCCAACTTCCACCCGTACTGGCCTGTGGGCTCTACCCACCTGCACTAGTGCCCCTGGGGGCAGAGGCCATTCTCCCTCCCTGTCAGGAAGCCTAGAACCCTTTGAAGAAGCTAGGGCGCAGTGGGGGGTCTTGGGGGAAAAGGCCTAGAGTCTGCAGAAGACCAGGGCCAGGGATCTGTGTTTCCCTTTCTTGAGGTCTTGCGGGAAGATACTGGAGCCCTTGGGCCTCAGTTACACATTCATGAAAGGGCCCTGCTCAGAGGAGCGAGGTCAGGTGCCCTCTGTCCATCCCCCGGGCTACCGCAAAGGCGGAACCCAGTGTTGCCCTATACTGCTTGACTTCTCCTTGTGAGGGGCAGTGGGGGCCCCAGCCCCTTGCCCCTGCCCCCATGATTGTGATGGGCGAGTCAGGCTGCTGTTGTGGGGTGGAAGGAGGGCGGGGCTGAGGGGCGCAGGGCTCTAGCCCCGCGTGGACCAGTTGGGGGGGGGGTGCGGGCTCGGCCCCGCCCTGCGCGCCCCCGCTGCAGCCAGCGCGCGCTCCCAGGAGGCGTTAGAGGTAGAAGCAGCACCAGCACCTTCTGCAGCAGCAGCAGCCACGGGCGGTCTCGGGCAGGGTCGGCCTGACTGACCCAGAAACTGAAGACACCAGGGGCACGCCGCCCGCTGGGGCCGGCCATGGAAGGAGGTTCCTTCGGAGCAGGCCGTGCGGGGTCTGCCCTGGACCCCGTGAGCTTCGCGAAGCGGCCCCAGACTGTGCTGCGGGTCGTGTCCTGGGTGAGTGGAACCTGCCCCGGTACCCGATCCCGCCTCGCCTTGCATTCCTTTTCCCTAACCCCTTACCCCTCACCCCCATCCTTTTCCTTGCCGGCCCCCTCCCCCTCCGGCCGCAGGTTGGGGTGACGTCACCGGGAGGGCGCGCCCACCCGCGGGCGGGGGAGGGGTCGGCGACGACAACCTGGGACCTTAGAAGATCACCTCGCCGACCCTACCCCCAATTCCTCCTTAGGTCTTATTGTCCCCCTTTTCAGCCTTCACTCCGTTTTTCCCATTCCTGTGACCTGGAAGCAGGCACAGGGGTGGGGACCGGATTCGGCCAGCATTCTCAGCCCCAGGAGGGGGCTACGGGAGCCGAGAGGATCAGGCAGAGCCTCTCCCCTGCTTCTCCTGCACACATACCCTCCAGGCTCCTTCGAAGGGAGCTATCTCTTCCCAGGCCCCCCAGTTTCATCTGTGAGTTGGGGGGTGCTCGGGTATCCTGGGTGGGGCAGCCAGATGGGGCTCTGCTTTGGGAGAGCTGACTGGAGGTGGTGTGGAAGGGGCAGATTCTGGGGGCAGCCTAGTTACTGAGGCATCATCCCTAGACCAGGTGACCTGCTCCTCCTTCCCACTTCTCCAAGTAGGAGAGATGGGAGGTAGGGTGCTGAGTTCTGGAGGTAGCAGCTGGTGGTAGCTGCACCTACTGGCTGGTTTTAGAGTAGGGCGGTGCCCAGGGTGTTGCAGGGGGACTCTGCCTTTTCAGGGGGTAGTTGCTCTGGCCTGACCAGGATGCAGGAACCCTACCTTCCGGTCCCAGCTCTGTTTCAACTTGTGGAGCACTCCTGGGGTACTAGTCCACATCCTGGTCCCCTCTTGACTAAGTCTCTAGGCGCTGGGGTGGGGAAGGAGAGAAATGAAATTAAACTGGAGATCTTTTTTCTTTTTTTTTTTTTGGAAACATAGGCCTGCTCAAAGCTAAAAGGGCAGCGTCTGGTTTAAAATGACCATGGTCCACCTCTTACCTGCCTCCCAGCCCTTGTGGCGGCAAGGAGATGTTTGACTGAAATGCAGAGGTCAATCCTGTTGCCTTTTAAGCCCAAACACTGACGTATGGCATTAATAATTAATCATAGTAATGCGGGGTCATCACCCCTTGAGTGCCACAAGTATAGGACGCTGGTTGGGCATTCTCTCTCTCCCCAACATCCCATGAACTGAACTTGTCACTACATATGGCACGATAGGAAGCAGGGCTGCACAGCTCCTGCATGCTGTGGGCGGGTCCCACACAGGGCCTGGCCCACAGCCGTGTGCGGCTGCCCCTCTGTTGCACCCCCTACACTCTGACCTCTCTCTCCCGGCTCCATACCTACCTCCCCCAGCACCACCGGCTCAAGCCTGGAATCACCGGTCCAGGTGAAGGCTTCTGTTCCCACACTCATGAGTGGGCCGTGAAGAGACACTACCAGCCCCATGCAATTCGGAAGACCCAGCTCGAATGTCGGCCCTGGCTCTTATCAGCAATGGGACCTCAGACAAATCACTTCACCTGTTGGAGCCCTAATTTCCTCACCTGTAAAGGGAATAAGAACAATGAATGGCACCTTCGTGATTTTCTGGGAGCATTCTATGAGTGAACACATGTAAAGTAGCAGTTTTAAGCACGGTGCCTGGACATAGGAGTTGCTCACCAAATGGCACATGTTGTCCATAATTACTAAATAACTGAGGGAGGTATTAAGGGAAGGGCACCCGAAGACCCCCACCCAGAGACAGGGGCCCTGTGCCGCAAGGGAACGCAGGGACAGTCCCGAAGGCGTGGCCGCACGCAGTGGGCCACACCTCAGTCCTCGGCAGGGAGGGGCGTCACCGCCAGGGCTTGAGCACCACTCGCCGCCCGCAGGTGTTCTCCATCGCTGTCTTCGGGCCCATTGTCAATGAGGGTTACGTGAACTCCGAAAGCGGTCCGGAGCTGCGCTGCGTCTTTAACGGGAACGCAGGTGCCTGTCGCTTCGGGGTCACGCTCGGCCTCGGCGCCTTCCTCGCCTGCGCCGCCTTCCTGTTCCTAGACTTGCGCTTCCAGCAGATCAGCAGCGTCCGCGACCGCCGTCGCGCGGTGCTGCTGGACCTGGGCTTCTCAGGTGGGTGTGGCCGGGCGAGGAGAGGCAATCCGGGGACAGAGCGCCTGGGGCTTCCAGGGGGCGGGGGGGAGGTTGGCTTCTGATTTTCAGGTGGGTGGGATAGAAACTGGTCTGGGCCGGGCCTCCAGGGGTTCGGAAACCTGTTCCCAGCGTGGTTAAGGGGAGTGTTCCAGCGGAGCGCGCCTAACCCATGCCCTTGCTCGCAGGGCTCTGGTCCTTCTTGTGGTTCGTGGGCTTCTGCTTCCTCACCAACCAGTGGCAGCGCACGGCGCCCGGTCCAGGCACCACGCAGGCTGGAGACGCAGCACGGGCCGCCATCGCTTTCAGCTTCTTCTCCATCCTCAGTTGGGTGAGTGTGGCCTGCGGGCGTTGAGGGCCGGGCCAGGCTGGGTCCGCTCTGGCTGACCCCGGGCTCCTCTTCAGGTGGCGCTCACCGTGAAGGCCCTGCAGCGGTTCCGCCTAGGCACCGACATGTCGCTCTTTGCCACCGAACAGCTGGGCACCGGGGCGGGGCAGGCCTACCCCGGCTACCCAGTAGGCAGCGGTGTGGAGGATACGGAGACCTACCAGAGCCCGCCCTTCACCGAGACCCTGGATACCAGCACCAAAGGGTACCAGGTGCCCGCCTACTAGTGGCTGGTGGGCTCAGACTAGGGCCGGAAGGCTGCCCTACCAATGCAGGGCCCACGGCCTCCTGCGACCTCCCTCAGGTCCCGGTCCAGCTTTAGGAATGGAGGAGTGGCCACTGTGGGCTGTCTGGGACCAAGAGAGGATAGCCTCCAGGGTGCCAGGGCTGTACCCACAAGTTTCCCCAGTAAGTACCTTTACTCTCCAGCCCCATGCCTGAAGTCTTGAGGAAGGGACAGCACAGCCCTGGACATGTGTGCTCCAGCCTTCAGTGGATCAGCCTGTAGGGGGCCATTCCCCTCATGAGGCAGCCAGCCCAGGGTTTACCTGTCCACTCTGGAGTGAGGGATCCAGCTGCCCTCCATAGCCAGGTGCAGGGCCTGCCCCAGACTGGGGGCAGCACTGCCTCCACCCCCATGCCATGACCCAGGGAGCATGGCTGATGGCCACTGTTCCCCGTCTCATGTCACCGTGGGTAGTGGCAGTCCTTGCTCCTGTTGTGGTGGTTCGCCCCATGGGGCCATGTGCTCTCTGGAGCCTCCCTCCCTTTCCTCTCACCTGCTCACTAGAGTAGCCTGGCCTTGTTGATGTTGTGATTGTGGTCTTCAAGTTTCACCTGGTAGTTTCCATGCCCTGCCCCAGGCCTCTGCCTGAGTGGGCAGTTCTGGCCGGGAAGGCACAGCATGGCTGTAGGCCTGGGCACCAACCAGCCTTCTCTCAGCCCTTCAGTAAGACTTACCCAAGGGAGGCTTGGGACACCTGTGTACCTGGCAAGACAAGCCCTGGAAAGGAGAGAGGCTGCATTTGCCCATGGTGCCCTGGAGACACCATTCTGTGCAAACCCCTTTACCTTGGTTTCCTAGACCAGTCCTTCAACTCCCCACCCTGCACCCCATTTTAAGGCCCAGTCCAAGGTTGGGGTCCCTCTGTATAGCTGACTACTCATGCATTGCTCAAAGCTGGCTTTTCACATTATACCAGATGCGGTTGCCACATTCAATTCTTAAAAACAGACACCTCCCTCTGGAGTTGCAATTGAGTGACAACCCTGTACATTGTAGCATAGATCAATTATGTGTGGATATTTAAGTGAACATGTTTACAATTTTTGTATATATGGATTTTTCCTGTCCTCTGAAAGAACAATCCGTGATTGTGTATTTTCAGTGTCCCATGTTCCAGCTGCAAGTTCTTTACAATAAAGACTGGAGCCCTGGCTGGTGTGGCTCAGTGGATTGAGTGCCAGCCTGTGAACCAAAGGGTTACCGGTTCGATTCCCAGTCAGGGCACATACCTGGGTTGTGGGCCAGGTCCCCAGTAGGGGGTGTGTGAGAGGCACCACACATTGATTGTTTCTCTTCCTTTCTCTCTCCCTTCCCCTCTCTCTAAAAATGAATAAAACTTTAAAATTAAAAATAAAGACTGTAAATGAGTTTACTGTGGCTCAGATGCTCTTGGACTCATTTCTACCCCTACCCCTTTAAGTGGCAGATGCTGAGATCTGAAGGGCACCAGGCCCCAGAATCGAGGGACAGGGAGGTGGAGGCCAGGCTGACCTCCATGTTCTGGGGGTTCCAGGTCCACCAGCCCCTCACCACACATCACACTGGGTTGGAACTGGAATGGCCCAGAGCTAGCTCTCTGAAATGCTGGGGAGATGCCCATCTCTTTTATCCCTCTTATAATAGCAGGATAACTAAATATTTCTTGGGGGAGTATATCTGTAGAAGTTCCTCAGGCAGTGGATGTAAGCTGAGTCTACGTGATTTCCATTTTCTTGAAGGATAGTTTTATTAGTTATACAAATGTCATTTTCTTTAGAACTTTTGGATCTTACACTGCTAACGAGAACAATGGTAACAGTGCAATTTGCATTCCTTTGCAGGTTGTATGTCATTTTGGTGCTAATTTTTTTCTAAGTTGTGTGTCTAGATGTGGCTTAAAAAATTATCCTTAGTGTCTGTCTTTTTAAAACCATTCTTCAGTGCTTGGCAAGGGCACTCATGATTTCTCCAGATGCCCCCTACTCACCACCTTCTGCTCCTGGGACCACCGTCAGGTGTGCCGTGCAGCTTCCAGAGCCACGTTCTAGGACCAGCTGCCCTCTGGAGTTTCCCCAGCTTGGTCTTCTTTGAACCCAACTATTTTTATGTCAGTTTTTTATTTCTAAGGTTTCTAGTTGGTCAATGTCCTCCTGGTTAAGTGAAGCAGTTAAGGACCGTCTCTGCAGCGGGAATGCTGGCTTTGCCACATCACAGCTTGGTCATCTTGGGCGAGCCCTCTTGTCTGTGCCTCAGGTTCCTTTTTTTTTAAAGTTAGATTATCTTGTTGTTGTTCAATTACAGTTGTATTTTCTCCCCACCCCTCCCCTTACCCCCAGGTTCCTCTTCTGTAGAAGGATAATAGTTCCTAGCACGTAGGGTGGGACGATAACGTGTAAACCACGTTAACACATGTGAAGAGCTCAAGCAGTGCTCGTCACACAGCCAGAAGTAAAGTGTCACCTAGTTTTATTGGTTTTGATTAAGAATAGTATTTTCAGTATCACGAATGCAATATCCCAGTTTCCAGATTACTCTTCTGTGGGGTTGGCTGTGCTCAGGTCTGCAGAGGGTATCACAGTAAGGTGCTTCCAGTGTGTGGTGGGAAATGCAGGTGGCTTCCCTGTGACATCTGATGCACTGCCTGCCCCACGGAGGGTGAAGGGGTGGAGGCTCTCCTCTCCTAGGGAGCAGAGTACGGGACCCGTACCCAAGGACGCTGCTCTGGTCCCAGCACAGGCAGGCAGTGATAATGCAGCCATATGGCTCTGACCTGGCTCCTCTTCAGGCCACCAACATAGACCTTCATCAACATGGGTGTCCCCTTCTGCTTTTAGAATGACACATCTCCATTTTTCCTCATCTAAGGCTGTTTCCTCTGCCTTACATGAATGTAGTGAGGATTTTTTCCTATTTATGTTTGGGGCAGAAAGGGGAGATTTCAGTGTCTGGGCCCTTCCCAAATACTAGATCACAAATTTTCTTACAGATATTCAGATGTGCTCCCCCATCCCCCTGCTTCTAACTTGTTCTTGATGAAGTTCGTCTTTAGTAGCTCGTCCACCCATCTGTGGATGTAAACCTTGTGTCTATATACCTGTCATGTTCTGGAAGCATAGTTTTACCAGGTGCAAAGTGCCGGTCAAGTATGGCTGTCTGTTCCCCGCAGTGCCAGACCTCCAGGACTGGGACCCTAGTTTGGCTTCGGCTCACTGTGAGCAGAGTCCAGCCCTCCCCATAGGCCTTCTACTAGCTGACCACCTGAGTTGTAATGTGTAAAGACTCAAGTTTCCCTTGTTACTGGGTGACCTCAGAAGGCAGAGCTCAGAATGCCAGCCTTGTGCATTATTGCAAAATAAATTTATTTGGAAGATAAACTTTTATAAAAGGTTAGAGGCAATTTGAGATCCCAGATGCAGCTTGTCTCTTAGAAAGGTTTAACTTCAAGTAGAACAATTTTGTGTTTGTTTTTAATCCTGAACATTCTTGAATCATGAAACAGCCGACTGTTTACACAACACACTCAACATCTTACTCCAGCAAGTGGACCCACAGCTTCAGGCTTAGGGGCCAGGGTGCTGCAGGTCTCCAGCTCAGGATGTCCCAGATTGGGCTGCTGTGGCCACTGGCTCTGACAGCATGGACAAGTCCTGGCATCCCAGCCCTTCCCTCTCCTGGCACTTGCCAAAATCATGAGAGCAGCCACCAAGCCTGGCCCGCCACCGAGGCAGGGGTATTTGCCCAGATCCCGAAGGAAACCAGATGGACTCCGCCTGACAGTGTGCTGATACGGTAGGGTAGGCAGTTCCTGGTGGGCTGGCCAACCAAGGAGCCCGAACAGGTGGCCTCACCAGAGCCTTACCTGGCTGCCTGGCAGCCCAAGAGGAGGAGAGGCAAAGGAGGCTCATGGGTGTGGCTGCTATTGCCCATAAAACAGCAGCTATGTGAGGGTCCTGGCAACAGCTTGCAGGGAGGGGAAGTCGTCATCCCGGGCAGTGTGCAGAGCCTGGTGGCTGCTGACATCACCATTTGCAAGCACCTGCTGGCAGGTGGGGCACACACAGCAGTCCAGGCCAACCTGCTGGGTGCTGGCCTGCCACGCGCTCTTCTTGTTCTTCTTGGCCTTGGTGCTGGGCAGCCTCTCTTGGCCTCGGAAGTCTGTGTGTGCTAACAGCAGCTCCTGCTGCTTGGCTGTGTCAGGCAGGAGCACCAGCAGCTCATTGAAGATCTTATGGAAGTTCTCCCCAAGCAGGTCCCGGCAGCTCTTGTAATACTGGGCTGCAGAGATCACACCCTACCACCCAGAGGCAGAACCAGTCACCCCCGGCCCAGGCCTGGGCCCCAGGTGGCAGGCTGCCCCCCACCCCCCACCGCTGCCTCTTCCTGCTGGTCTGACCTGTCGAAACTCCCCCGAGTGACTCTTGAACTCGCTGAAGCGGGCTTCATCACTCTGCAGGAAGTCCTTGATGGACTGGATGAGCTGCAGGTTCCTCTCCCTGAAGTTCTCAGGAATGAGGTAGGCCCGAGATGCTGGTGTCATCCTGGGTCTGGGGGTCAGTAGATGGGACGTGTCAGTCTTTGGGGTGGCCCACAGTGAGGGAATTCTCCCCTGGCCCCCAGGAACACAAGGCTGGACAGCCCACCACACTTACGCTTTTATGGTGGTGGTCGTGCTAGGGACACAGGCTGGGTGGGAGCTGGGCAGGCTGGAGAAGCCAGGGGGTGGTTTGCTGACTGGGGGCACCAGACCTGGCGGAGGTGGGAGTGGAGTGGAGAGCACCACAGTGCTGAAGCCTGTGGAGGTGGCACACCAAGACCCAGATAATAACCCTCACTGGCTGGGGACAGCCAGGCCTCATCCCTCACTTCCCACAGGCTGCCCAGCCCACCCACGTCAGGCTTCCATCCAGACCATGACTCCCCTGAAGAACAGGCCAAGAGCCTGATGACGCCCAAAGCCAGCACGCATGCTATGCTCCCCCGTGGCGAATCCTGGCCTAAGTTTTGAGGGCAAAGGACTGCCCAGTTTTACATGGAGCAAAGGGACACAGAGGTTATGTGGTGGACCAAGGTCACACTGTCTACAGATGGTGGCCTCCGCATCCAGACTTCCACTGTGCTCCCAAGGCAGCTGGAAACCGCTGCACTAGCTCACCTCTCCCCACCACAGTCCTGCGTCTGCCGGTACATAACCTTGGGCCTGGGGCAGCTCCAGCCTGACTCTACTACCCTGGCCCCTTCCCAGATGTTCAGAAGCAGACCTGAGCCAGGTGCACCTACCTGGGGGAGGGGGCATCCTGGGTGGGCAGGGGCCACCGCCAAGCGCTGGGAAGTCTTCCTGAGGTGTGGGGCAGGGGAGGGGCCCCAGGGGCCTTGAGAGCCCAGGGGGTTCCTTGGGGACACTCCGAGTGGGGCCTGGCCCCTCTGTGTGTCCATTGACGATGACAGCGACTGGCCCCTCGGCTCTGCCCATGGGGGCCTGCTCAGCCCCAGGGGGCCCAACATTTTCAGGTAGGGGTGATGCAGCACCCAGCTTCTCAGAGCCCACCTTCTTCTTCTTGCCGACTTTGGTGAAGGTCTGGGTAGAGGCCAGTGCCAGCAGGGAGGAGACAGGGACTGCAGTGGGCACACTCCGCAGTTCCTGGGCGGTGAGGCCAGCACGACTATCCTCCTCCTCCTCGTCCTCCATGGGGGGTGGCCCACCCTTCTTGCTGCCTTTAACCCCCTTCCCAGCCTTCCTGGGGGGATGACTGCCCCCACTGGCAGCCTGAATCCCTGGGGTGGGCTGTACCACCTTCTTGCTGCTGGTGCTATTCCAAGCAGAGATGAGGCTGGTGGGGGCTGTGCTGGGCTTGGAGGTGGAGGACACCAGAGCAGGGAAGTCATCCTCCTGGAAGGTGTTCCTGCCCCTGGCAGGAACAGGGTACACCAGTGCCAGCCCCACAGGGCCCGAGGCTGCTGCTGTGGAGCAGGAGGAAGTGGAGGTGCAGAGACTGGGGAAATCTTCATCCTTGAGCTTCGAAGTGGGGGGCAAGAGGGTGCTGAGCCCAGGGAGGGGAGAGGGGTCAGCGGTCTGCCAGGCCCTGGACTGCCCCGCACCCACCCTCCAGAGGAGCTCCATGCTTTCACCCCAGTTCATGTACATGTGTACCTCAGAAGTGTGGCCCCTGCAGCTGGGTTGCTTGCTGGGAAGGCCTCTTGGCTTATAGGACCATCTGCAGAGGCTTCCTTGGGGCCTACAAGACACAGTAGGACCCATGTCAGGGCTGACCAATGTTGAAGGAGCA